CCGGGGAATCTGTGACAGCAAGACACATGCATGTACACAGCGCACACATTTCCCCTTTTTAATGTCCAGCCACATGCTACACAGACACACACACAAATACAGACACAGAGACACAGACACACACACGCCCTGTGACCATGATGACAATGGCAGAGCCTTACGGTCAGTCGGAAGTGTTCCCTGTGCTTGCTGTGCACGACCTCGGTGAAGTGCTGATCGCTGGGCTGGGGCAGGCGGTTCTCCTCGTCCAGGATGTCCAGGATGCCCACCAGCTTGGCCTCTATCAGGTCTGCAGGTGAGGTGAGAAGGGCTCAGTGGGCTGGGGGCAGAGTGACACCGCAGACATACTACAACAAACCCCTGGACCGGTGAGTCAGAGAAACATGGTACAACAGTGAGAGCGAAGAGGGGGCGGCTTTGCTGCCATTGGACGGGGTAATCACATGATGCATATGCCTGTGACCAATTCAGACCAACCCAGCCTAACCTTGTCCAAGCCAGCCCAATCCAGACCGACCCTGACCAATCCAGCTCGACTGATCCAGCCCCCTTAGGGCAGCACTTTCAGCACGCTCAGACTGGGTTTACACTGCTGCTGCACACTGCTAACTGCAGACAATAATGGAGGACTGAGATGGAGTGCCAGAGCATAGGAGGAGGTAAGGATCATGCACTGATACAGCACGTTGCTGCACCCACCACACGACAAACCACCTTAGGGATGAGAACCAGAGTGCAGCCATGTGGCAGGTGATACCTCAGCACCACACTAGTCCAAATGGACCAGTGTGAGGTTTTCTCAAGTGGCCAATCCTGCCACCAACCCCCAAGTTATTCCCTGTAAGTTGGAGGATCTCCTTATAGGGCTGGATGTAGATTGAAGTCATACCCAGGATGAGGCAATTGCAGGTTAAGGGCCTTGCTCAAGGGCCCATTGGAGTAGAATCACTGCAGGCATTCATGGGATTTGAACCAGCAACCTTCCAGTTGCTGGAACAGATCCCTAGCCTCTGAGCCACCACTCAGTCCCAGAGCATACATCTTCCAAAAAACCAGCGGGGTCACAACTCGCATGGCATGGGGCTGGACCTTTAGGCAGTGATCATGATGGGGTTCTGAGAAATGAATGGGACAAACAAACAGAAAGACTGGATGCATTTGGCATCTTCTGCAGATGCTTACCTATGCAGTCTTGGTTGTCCACATAATGAACTTCATTGACCCCAAGCCCCTCCCTCTGGTACAGCTCTTGTTCCTGCAAATACATATCATATTGGGTGGGGTTGGGAAGGGGTGATGAGGGCTGAAATAAAACATTAAATGACCTTGATAAGTACAGTGCAAAGCAGCAGAGATCAAAGAGGCCCAGCCAGCTTCCAGCTTCTCCGGAAGGATAGTGAAATGTCATCCTGGCGTGTCCAGAAGCGATACGCCGGCCAAAATCAGAGACAAATCGCGTCGTTAAAGCCGGGGGCCGCGACCACACAGCACTCACCTCCTTCAGAATGCGCTCGTTGAAGAACTGCTGCAGCTTCTCGTTGCAGTAATTGATGCAGAACTGTTCAAAGCTGTTGTGCTCAAAGTACTCTGTGAAAGAGGGAGAGGCCGTGAGCCAGGAAGCACCCGCCTGTGGCGGCTGCAGCACAAACCGGGGGACGGGGGGGGGGGGGCACTGACCGAAGCCCGCGATGTCCAGCACGCCGATGAAGGTGGACGACGTCTCGAAAGGAAAACACTGGTTGACCCGCTTCACCACGTGGTCAAAGAGGCGGCTGTAGATGGCCTTGGCAAGGGCATCCCGTGCGTTGTTGGCCTGCTCCACCTTCAGAGGCACTCTGGGGGAAGGCACAGCGCTTTGGGTCAGAACCCGGGCCTCATCCACCTCGCTCCCACAGGCTGCGACCCGCGTACGAACCTCTGACACCAGTACAGGCCTGCTGTGTTACATCATAACGGAGAAGAACCAGGATGGTAACCCTGAGGGAATGACACTGGGCACAACGAGCACCGTAAAGACTGCAGGTTAAATCCCCTGTGGAGATCCTGACACAACAGCACCCACACACTACTTGACTGGAACGGCTTCAGGGAACAGGTAGCAGACTTAAGGGTCATAAAACTGTCAGCCACCCTTTGGGCAAGAGAAGCAGTAAAATAACAGTAATAAGTCAGGGCCAGAAAGATGAATTTGTCCCACACTCTGCCTGTACAAATTAAAGGAACTTCAGAAGTTCTAAGTAAGGTGGAGTTTGTGACACTTCTGACTAAGGTGCCTTAATTTCCGTGCAGGATCAGCGGTGCCGGTGATTTAATGCCTCTGGTGAGCGTGAAAAGGACACGGCGGCGGCCGCTGCTGCAGTCCACGTCGTAAATCTCCGCAGGCGCGTGCCGACCTTTCCATTCGCCCGCCAGACCTCTGCAGCCCCAGACGGAGCCCATCACTGAAGCAGGAGAGTCTCTCTGCGTGTTCCAATGAAGGGCCTCACCACCAGACTGGGGGCACTTATTACGGGCCGGGACCACCCACAATGTCAAGGAGAATGTGGCCCTTGACCTCTTACAGCCGTCTGCGGCCGCACCTCTGAGACGCCGACGACCCACCTGGCATCGTGCTGCTGCAGCCAGGCCTGCTTCCAGGCACAGCTTCCTGGGGGCACGGCGCTCTCCCCTTGCCTCAGACATAGCTTCAGATGTGGGTGTCTGGCTTCAGGAGGCCGACATGTGCGATAGCCTGCTTTCTCCGGAGCTCGGCCCAGCCCCTCCCTGAGCACCCCCCCTCCCAACCCCAACCATGGTGTCAGCAACATTAAATCTATTCTGCAGAAAATTATCTCAAATTCTCCCAATCATCCCTCTATGCACGTAGACATGCATGCTTAGACAGACTCACACGCCCGGGCTCCAGCCCCCGCCCCCCCCCCATGGTGCACGCAGTGTTATTCCTGGGAGTTTGAGATTTCCCCACCAGCACCTCTATGATCTAAACACAAAAGGAAAGGAAGCATATAAAGAGCCCCCCCCCCCTCCACCCCCCAGCTGGGCGTAGATCATTAACGGCTTCACTCTCAGACAGCGACATCTGCAGAAAGACGGAGCTCCTCACTACGCAGGGCAGTGGGACACGACCCCCAGTGCCTGCTGTCTGCCGGCACCACACGGGGGGGGGGGCACACGGGGGGGCACCGCCGTGCGCAGGGAGACTGACAGGGCGCAGCTCACAGTCCCACCTCTTGCCGTCAGCTCGCCGCGGGGGGGTTCCACAACCAAAGGCTGCGGCAGAAAGTGAGTGGCAGGCAGAGACGGACAGGCCTAATAGGGACGCCGGGACGGCGTGGGTTTGGATCCCGCCAGGAACAGCACTTAAGGACACAAGTTCACTTCCAAGAAACCCATGTCAGGAAATAAAGGCAGATATAAAAAAAAAAGCTTCAGCCACCCACAGCAGCCAGAAAATGCCAGCGCCCACCCCCATACAGCATCTCCGTAATGAACCCCCCCCCAGCTCAGGGTGTGCGAGCAACGGCTGACCAGCAGGCCATCACTAAACCAAAAGGCTAAATAGCAGGCAAACATATTATATACACACACACAAACCACACAGTGATATTTAGATTATATAACTACTAAACGACTATTTTGGTACTTTAACTTCCACTTTAAACAAAATGGTGACTTCACCCAGCTATAAAAAAACATGCAAGAAACAAAGACTGTTTCTCACTGATGTATCCAAAACACTAACACATGGCATGAATCATCCCAGGCTTTCTTACTTTATTGCCGTGCCTTTGGCGCCCCCTGCTGTTGTGAGCATGACTCTGGTGGTGAGGCTGACTTGCAGATCTTCCTCTTCCAGCCCCAGCAGCTCGGCGCAGAACTCAAGGGTCTTGCTGGATGTCCTTTTTATGGTGCATCCACCTGACAGAACGAACACACACACACACACAGACACACACAGACACACAAACACACACACACACACACAGAGAGATTAGGTATCTATATCTTTGTGCTGACTCTCCATTCACTTCTACAGACATAACCCTAAACCTAACCACCATAAATGAACATTAGCGAGCCATTGCTTGGGGCGACCATGTGTGGTTTATGTTCCACTCACGGTCAGCAGTAAGGACGCACGTCCCTCTGACGGCGGGAGTGTGAACGTCACAGCCGGGTGACAGCTTGTCTCTGCTCTGATAAGGTCACCCCCCACCCACCCGCCCCTTGCCCCTCGCCGTCCTCCTCACTGAGGATAGGAGAGGGATTTAAAAGAAAAACAATAATATCAACACTGATCGAGTATCGTAGCAACAAGCTAATGGGGGTCATTTGAGTATTCAATTAAAGAAGAGAGGTTACCGTGGCCCAATAAATCACGCCTTCCACACCCAGATGACAAGCTGATTAATGCCTGATCTCTGCCCTCTTACTCAGGAGGCATTCACTCAAGGTGAAGTGCAGAAATCACTTTTTCTGATGTGATGGTACTTTGATGCCTTGTCCATTTTTTCCCACCTGATTTATGGGATCTCTGCTGGAGATGAATCGTCTGCTGCCTCCTTTGTGACTCTGTGTGTGCAGCAGAGTTTCGGCTTAAATAACGCATGTGGTCTTTCTTCCTCTGCTGCTTTCAGTCTGCTGCCTGCACTTGTTCCCCTAAAAGGACAGACTGTCTGACTCTGTCTTCTGTCTGTGTCTTTGTGGTCATGTAATTATCATATTGTGGGGACCAAATGTACTCACAATGTGATGAAAACCTGTTACATTTTGCCTTGTGGGGACAAATCTGTGAATGTATATTTACAATGAATGAATGAATGAATGAATGTTACATTCATGTAGCGCTTTTCAAGACACCCAAAGCAATTTACAGAACCAATGGGGAGCCACTTCAATCACCAGCAGTGTAGCAGTGACAGAGGCATATGAACTGCGGTTTGAGATTAAGGCACCATAACTGTGCTTGTGTCCAGCACGGATTAGAAGAGTCAAATTTCCGTCACACTTCTTAGTGGGATATCATCCATCCATCGTCCAGAACCACACACATGTAGGGTAAACATATCCTTATGGGGACCGCTCATTCATTTCAATGGGAAAAATGCTAACGCTAACTATGACAACCTTAACCCCTACCCTGCCCTAACCATAACCATAAGTAATGAAACGAAAAACAAGATTTTTGGCAATTTTAGTTTTTTGATTGCATTCACAAATTTTTATAAAATTGAGTTTCCCTTTGTGGGGACCGAAAAATAACACAGAAACACACACACACATACACACATACACACACACACACACAGTCAGGCACACAGACACAATCACACACCCCACTGTGGGATGGTTAGAAACAGCAGTGCACCTCACTGCAGAGCGTGCAGAGCGCAGAGGAAGCCTGCATGAACACAAGGAGATCACATGAGCGAACAGTGCAGAGAGGGAGGCAGTAATCGACCCCCCCGCCATGGAGACACGCTGACTCCCGAGTGCCACCCTGAAATGTGGCCGTCTACAGGGTGAAGGGCCCCCGGGGCCACACTACAAGCGGGGAGGGGGATTCGAGCCGCGACATGCCGTTTATTCCAGGCCGCTTGCCCCGTGGAATGATCCTGCGCACACTAAGCCGGGCCCAGCCACACGTCCTCATTACGATTCCGAAGCATGCATGCGGATAAAGACAGCAGAGCCAGTCCAGCGGACGCACGGGAATGTCAGCGGCGCGCTTAGCATTTGGGAAACAGCAGGAACGCGCCGTCCCCGCCCCCATTTAAAGAGAGAAATCCATCTGTCTGGTGAAAACAAGTGCTGACGGTTCAAACAGGACGCCGGGGTCGGATTGGGTCAGGTCTCAGCACTACGCCGTTTCATGCAGAAAATGCACAAATCGGGCACATCCAGCCAAGAAGAGATGCAACTCATTCCAGCCCCTTTGTCATAAACGCAATTTAACATTTCCGTTTAAACCCCCTAATAAGATTTCATAGCATAGCCCACAGATACCTTCAAGCAACATTATTTTAATCATAAGTGACTCTCACACGTTCACAGAGCATGACTTACATTCACATTTTTGGAGAACGGACCCAATGGTCTAATGGTGACATCACTCTGCCAACCAAGGGATTTGAACAGGCGACCAACCAATCACAGGCACAGTGTTCTAACTTGCTGACCCACACCCTGACCCTAAAATATTCCGTAGCTCAACAAGTACAACATTGCGCTAACCGTGCAAAGATTGTGGGTTCAAACCCCAGGAAGCACAAAAAATTTGGGGTCCTTCTCTGTACTGTAAGTTGCCTTGGATAAAAGCTTCAAATAACTGAGAAGAACACTAAGCTGCACTGTCATGGCTGCTATGGGTTGACTTCATGCTGACAGCAGTACTACGCAGTAGTGACAGACAAAGTGACACTTCATGAACCATTTGCTGTATTTTTTGACCCCACTAGATGGTGCTCTCTGTATAAAAAAGAACATGAAACATGCCCCAAAGCAAACCAGGAGCACCATCTAGTTGAGTCAATAAATACAGCGAAGAGTTCCTGAAGCATCATCTTGCCCATCGCTACTACGCAGTGAGCCGCCACACATCTGCAGGTGCCATCATGCCGTGACCGCAGGGCTTAGCCCTGTCATGGGTAGGGCTGGGTACTGAAACCCAGTGCCAATATGGCCCCAGTCCCTTTAAGATCAGTATGTACTGCACTGTACTGCTGCATTCAAATGCCTGAGCTGTTAATTGATAATTTGCCCTCTGGTGCTCAGGAAACAAAAGCATCACTGCACCTCACGTGCCACTGCTAGTTAACATTACACTTGCCCTGATGTCAGCAGATGCCTACTGTTAGCTAGTAGCTAACTTAAACACGGATAAAAGGCCTAAATCTCAAGTGTAGCTGAGATACCTGGACGTTATGTAAAGTTATTTGCATTTATTAAGTTATTAGTTAAGTTATTTGAATTTATTTCTATTTATATATTTAAGGTGTTAAGTTATTTAGTGCTATATTATTGTAGCTGGGTTAGGTTTTATTTATTATGTGAACTTATTATGTAAATTCGTTATGTTTTGCATTTATTCCTATTGTTCAATTTCAAGTTCAGATTCGCCCCAGAAATAAAGCCGTTCTTTAATGTCACCCACCCTCATCGTTAGCGTATTGAAAACCCCCAAAGGATGCCCAGTGACAGGGTGTGTGGGGGAAGCTCACCTGACGTGCTCCCCGCCTCCTCAAAGTCTACATTGCCCAGGTGCAGGACTCCCGCCACCACGCGGAAGAGGTCCAGCTTCTCGGCGTCATCCAGGCCGATCTTCTTCATGGCCACGCACATCCTGTTGAAGTCGCCGTGGTCGTCCAGCAGCGGGTCCTTCAGAGGGCCGGCCTTCAGGTGCTGTCCAATGATATCGCAGTCAAGCTCGGCGCCCCCATGAGGCAGCCGTCGACATCTCCTCTGACCAGCCCGCCTGGCCCCCTCTGCTCATGCAATCAATTTGGGTCTCAGAGAATGATGCAAGGAGCTCAAGATATCTACTCAGGTGTGGATTGGCTGTTTGGCACTGGCAGGCGGGGCAGAGCTTAGTCTACGGCAGGGGTCTCCAACTTCGGTCCTGGAGAGCTACCGTCCAGTAGGTTTTCTATCCTACCTGGCTTCTGATGAACCACACCTTCTCAGGAAAAAACCAGGAGCAGGTGTGGCTCATCAGAAGCCAAGGGGGACAGAAAACCTACTGGATAGTAGCTCTCCAGGACCGGAGTTGGAGACCCCTGGTCTACGGTGATCAACCATGTGACACGGCCAACCATGTGACCCAGCCAGCCATGTGACCCGGCCAACCATGTGACACGGCCAACCATGTGACACGGCCAACCATGTGACACGGCATTCAACACACAGAAAGCACACTTCTACTGCTTAGGGGGTGAACAGCAGGGGATTCCAACTTTCAGGCAGGACTGGAATAAGGAACTAACTACAGAAACACCATATGCAAGATTTTTAAATTACCTGTAGACTGAATCTTAGAAAGTTAAAACATGTTTTTGTACTAAAAATGACCAAAGGAGCTTTCCTGTCACATCCAGACATTTTGCATTACAAGTAAGGAGCAAACGCAGACACACGCAGACACGCGCAGACACACGCGCAGACAGACAGAAAGGATAGCACAGTAGGGTGCCACAAAGTGAAAATAAATCTATTCTCTAACATGGTTGTTTTGTCTGTTAAAAATCAATAGCAGAAAACAAATCATTACATTTTTATTAATTATACATGTTCATTAATTGCCATAATGATAATTACAATTATTAGATTTTCTATTAATTATAAATTGCACATTTTGAGATCAAGATCAAAGCATATTTCTACATTTCTGTGGCACATACTGTCTTGCAGGAGTTAGCTTGGTGAGAAGGAAGTGAGGCCCTTCCTCTGAAACAGCCCGTGACCTTGCTCAGAGAAGGTGACACGTCGAGGGAAGAAAAAGAGCAAGAAGGGTTGGGGGCAGGGGGGGGGGCAGCACAGGCACCAGTCCCAGCAGAGACACCCACATGCATCGAGAGATCAAAGAACAGATGCTGCAACACCACAAAAACAGCCTGTTCCCTGAGACGGCTGAAATGGCTGTGGTCACCTTATTGTCCTGTGTGTTACAGCGAATGGCAGCGCAGGACAAACATACGAGCAGGATTACCAACAGAGAGCGAAGCCGGCACGCAGCCGACGGCCACGGGAGCGAGTGTCTGTGTAACATTCACATACGCCTTTCTGCGAGGGTCCTCTAGGAGCAGGACCGGCCAAGTTAAAAAGAACATAAACTGCAAAAATGATGCAATACCCAAGGCCAGAAAGACAATCACACTAACATTGCAGCCAAGTTCATCAGCCTATCCATAAATCCTATCTGACAGTTAAACACGGAAAATCACATGCATTTGTGTTTTATGCTGTTAAACACAGTGCTTCACTGGGTGAACTCTCACTGTAAATACGACCTTAGCATTAAGTCCAGGCTGAGAGGCTGCCTGTAGCGTCCCAAAAGCTAGCAGAATATTGCACTGATGAAATTCCTAAATAGTTCATCATTGATGTTCCTTAGGGGCATGGATTAGATTCTTGATATTCCTATTATTTTTAATAACAACCATGAATAAATTACATGGTGTGACAAGGGGTGTTTTATACAGCATTAATAAAAGTCTTCAGAATGACATATCAGAGACGGGAAAGGCAAAGACAGGGTCTTCCCTGACGCAACAGCACATCAAAGCTTCCTCTCTGTTTTTTTTCCTCCATGGAAAATGTACCCACATCATGAGTATGTGGACCTGAGGTGTGAGCACTGACACCTGTCCTGATCGGTCGGTCCATAAGCGTGGGGACGCCACTCCTCCAGAGTGTCACACCACACCCATACAGCAGGGGGCACCAGCCCCCGATCCACCGTGAAGTCACTACGGGATTTTCAGAGTGGGAAAAAGCTGGGAACCAAAACGGCTGACAGGAGGGACAGACTGGCACCCAAAGCACAACTCGGTCACTGGGACCAAAGCTTGAGGGAACAGACAGAAATCATTATACATCCAGCAGAAATAACGATGCTTGGATCATCTGGTGTTATTCTGTGCAGTCAGGCCTGGGTCCCAGCCGCTTAAAGGACATACAGGGGCGCTGGGATGGACTGATCTCCATCCTGAAACACCTGCTGAGGTCTCCCCACTGACTATGTTCCCATTTCACGGTGGTACATGCTGAGGCAGGTGCAGTGGGTCCTACCTCAGGACTCTTGCGGTTCTGCAGAATCTCCTTCTCGGTGTCCTTGCTGGAGAAGAAGCGGGTGCAGCCGCGATTCAGGTACTGCATCAGGGGGAGAGAGAGCGGGAGAGACGGACATGCTCACTCAGGTCACGCGGTAAAGATGCACCAGAGAGCTGCAGACGGCAGCCGGCTCTGGCCGGCGGGAACGTGTTCCGGCACGCGGAGGGCAAGCCGTGGCTGCTGGCACAAGCTTCATCACTGTGACTCTCAGGAGAATTATACAGGAAGACCATACTTACAAATGTATGATCATCCATTAGTATTAATATTAGAAGTACGCTATAGAATGAGTGTCACTTATTTAAATAACTCCAACTCTTCTTTAACTCTGAGGGCTCAATATTATCATTACAGCAGCAAAATAAACCAAAATAAAAGTAGCTCATACTTATGAGCATCTAAAGGCTATCCTGCCATTACTACGTTACTCTGTATAATGTGGTGATACACAGGATGCAGGCTGACAAAGACTCTCGCAAGAAAGACGCCTTCAGGGGGCCCCTGCGGTCGAGGTCGTCTCCCCCCCCCCACCGTCTCTCTCGGCTTGAATGGTGCACCGAACATATTCGGCATCTGCCATTAGGTTGCCATTACCCGCCCGTCAGATTCATTTAGCTCTAATTGTACTTCTATAATTGTCGTCATGAAAACATCTGAGTCGCTCCGCAAGCAGGTAATTATCAGAGGAAATCGTTAGCCCAACAAAGGCCCAATTATCTGCAGTAGGGGGCGCCGCAGGGTGGGTGCAAAACAACAACAGGGGGCAACACCACAGACTACAGCAAGTTTAAAAAGGATCATTCATAAAACGTACGGCAAACTTTTTAATATAAATTTGCCTTAAATATATTGCTGTGCAGAAACATCTTTTAATTATGCATTGACACTTACGTCAGTGTTTAACATGGAGGATATAAGAAACATCAAGCCGCTTAATGCAGCATCACTCAGCCTGAGAATCCCCATTAGCGAAAATCACGCTGATGTCACTTAGTTACTTCTCACCCCGGTGTCAGGCAGACGCCAAGCATTATGAGGGACAGGTTTGTATGGGGACAAATGACCCAAGAGCCTACTGCCTAGCAACAGCAGCTAGAAGAAATCCGGGGAAGCTGGAAGTGCACAGACTACACAACAGTCAAAGGTGCTTTTGAAGGAAACAAAGTGACATCTAGTGGTCTTACCAAGTACAACATCATGGCAGGAGGCCTGGGCTATATCGGGTCCTCACAGAAAGAATATCTCAAATTTATTGGTTCTATAACAAAAATCCTTATTTTATTTATTTGTTTATGATATTAGAAACAATCAGAAATTTTTAATTAAAAAGTATCTTCAATTAGTAATAAACTGAAACCCAAATTATAGTTCTAAAGCAGCTGTTCTGGGTTAAAAAGTTCATTGATAAGCAGTCTCATTGGGGGCTTTTTAATTAGTAACGCCTTTGTAATAACATTAAACATTTGTGTTTAGTGTCCCTTTGGGAGCCAATGACTACAACTGCAACTAATAGCAAAATGGAAAGAACAGCAGTGAATGAGTCATTCAAAAAAAGATTATGACACTTAATAAAAAGAAAATGCAACATATCTACACAACATACCTTCCACACAGACACATTGCTTGTCAATGGACTATTGTTATACTGGAACCAATGTGTGTGTAACATTGCCATAGAATTAAGCAAACATCTGTGAGGCTGTAGCTGCAGACGCGTGACCATGGAGGCGTGATCTCACCCTGAAGGCGTCCGGGGAGCCCAGGTGCAGCTGCTGGCTGATGTCCTCCGACGCCCCGGCACACAGCCGGTAGAAGATGTGATAGTTCCTCTCTTCCGGGCTCTGCGTGCAGATGCGGGACTTCTCCAGCAGGTAGTGTGACACGAAGCCCCCCACCACCACATTCTGAAATAGGGGGGGGGGGGGGGGTCAGTTTAGGCTCAAGAAAAGGCTGTCGCCATAGTGACACAGTGGCAAAGTGTCATCAAGGAAACACCTCACATAGCATGACAAGGAAACTGGAACACAAAGTAAACTCTTGCAGCTATGTGTATAACTTATTTAAAAAGTCAAAACATTCAGCATCATACAAAAATATAATTAGTGCTGTGGACCAAAAGTTGTATTGCGGGAGAGAAGTAGCGGCCTGTGGTGAACTAAATGGTTTCAGTAGAACATCCTGCTGTATAAATGGGTATAAATGCAGGGAAAATGGCTCCTATTCATTTTTTTAACAGAAGTCCGCCACACTGAATAAATATATCTGCTCAGTGGCTGATGCACTTTACACACAGCGAATGATGCACTTTACACAGAGTGAATGATGCACTTTACACAGAGTGAATGATGGCTGGTGATACCTTCTCATTAAAGTGGATTTCTACAAACTTCCCAAAACGGCTGCTGTTGTTGTTCCTGACTGTCTTGGCGTTTCCAAAAGCCTCAAGAAGTGGATTTGCTGTAGAGCGAGAAACAGCGCAGCCAGAGTCCAGTTATTTCACAGCAAACACACTCATGCTGAGGGTACGATCACAATGAAAGCTATAGTTCATACCTTCAACTATTCTCTCATCGATATCTTGGCCTGTACCATAGGTTGTAGTTAAATAACTACAACAAACAAAACAAGACAATTAGTGCAGCAAACATTTCAGTGTAAGGAAATAAAAACTGTAAAAAAAAAAAACAAATGGAAAACCATACAACCAACCAAAGTCAATCAGGTTTTACCGGAGGACAAATTTTGTGTTCTCTGTCTTTCCTGCCCCGGACTCTCCGGACACAATGATAGACTGACTCATCTTCAGCACCTTCATGTCGCGGTAAGCCTTGTCCGCTGAAACACACAGCACCAAATGTTCGCAGCCACTATCAAATGCTTCGATGGGTAACCAAATCCGAAATCACATATGAGAACGAAATACCAACTGTGCCTGCACTGAGGGAGTATGATTTCCAAAATAATATTGTTGACACTTTCTAATCACATATTTTCCATAAAGCAGTTTAGGCGTAAAAAAAAAAAAGATTTTACAAAGTTTAAAAACCCTGCCCATTTATACTGCATGGTTTTGCTGCCCCCTGGTGGAGGCGGGGGTAATGACTGAAAATTCTGAGAATACTCACCGATGGCATACACGTGGGGGGGCATAGTGCCCAGGGACTTTCCCCGGTAGGCTTGAATGGTTTGCAGCGAGTACAGCTTGGGGATGTCATAGTAAGGATTCACCGCTATAAGGATATTTGCTACAAAAGTCTGCAGGCACAAAACGAAAGCACAAGTATAAATAATCAGTATTCAGACAAAGGAGAAAAAACATGGAGCAAAGAGCCTTACAAAGTGGCGTTTCTCCATCTACTGAGGATTCATACCTACTGCTGACCCTATTGACACGAGTGGCGTGTGTGGGTGACAAGGGCAGGCAGAGGTGTGTGCAGGGCGCTGTTTGCCAGAGAGCCGCCAGGCCTGTGCTCTGGCCGGCTGGCCGTGTGCCCGGCTCAGGAAGCTACATACAGAGGGGTAAATCGGCCCCAGCTACACGCAGACAAACAGGCCTGCCATAACACACGCAGGCCTGTACTCTGGCCGGTTTGCATGGCAGACTCGGCCTTCCCTTCCACAACCTGCCCAGCTAAGGTGGTGACCCTACGCTCTGCTGGGAGAGTCTCACGCTTCATGGCACGGACATATACAATGAGGCAAGTAAAGCTACGGAAAGTAAGGATTCGAAAAGCTCTTTCATGCTGTATGGGCTCAGGATAAAAAGCGCTTTGAACATCCAGGTGGATAAACATGAGATTTCAGACTGGCTTTCCTCTCCATGCAGCGCTGAAAGACCTGGCTTCCTTTCAAAAACCACAGGAGGATGATGGCAAAAGGTCAGACTTACATAGATCTTCTCTTTACTATATCGCACTTTCACGTTGTTGAGGAGAGTCGCTTCATTCAGGTACATAAGGGAACCTGTGACGGACAAACAAGGAGCACAATGGGTACCAGAACAACCAGGCAAACTTATCAAAGGAAAACATCAGGTCAAACAAAATATCATCAAAATGTCATTTGTATAACTTTTTATAGTCTTTTTCATTGTTATTTAAAACTATACTAGTGCATTGACTTATATGCTCTATAAGGCAATATACTGGTGCAAATGTGCAGGCATAGGCATGTTTGTCAGTAATATCGAACGCCAACTCCCAAAATCCCAAAAGTCAATTAAACAAAGCAAAGCTTTGCCTTACAGTTGTCTTCTACTTGTTTGTTGACATCATCTTCTGCAGGAAATACTTGGTTGATTGGAGCCAAGAATGTCTACAACATAAGGAAAGGCATTAGAGAGGCAGCGTTTGTTTCAGTCCTTTCTGACCCGTCCTTGCAGTTTGTTATCTCGAGATCCCAGGAGAACAGGCCAGACTCAAAGGCAAAATTCCACAACTGAAGGAGAGCAAGGGTCTCCTTCGGTTGTCAAAGCCCTCAGAGGAAGCTCTTCCTCTCAGTTGCCCTGCTTCCTCTGAGGTTGTCCGTCAGAGATGTGAAGCTTGCAGGAGAGCAGATACATAACAGATACAACGTTGATCATGCAGCTTTGAGACACATTGCGGGAATCAAGTGAAACTCAAGAATCCCAAACAATGTTCTGGTCAATATGGAAAACATCCCATTGGGGTGAAGCTTGCATCGTGGGGGAGGGTGACAACCGCGCAGTCAGAACCTCACGCCACTGCAGATGGCTACAGCTTGCTGCAGCAGGCGGGAGGACCTCATGCAAATGTGTCTCCCTTCCGGGGACCCAGCACTTCGCAATGCAGGAAGGCATTTAGGAGAAACGTACGAGCGCGGCTGGGAAGCTGATCAGGATGCATAAGTTCGCAGAGCTGCTATGGAGGCTTGTCCTCACACCCCTTGGCTCCCTCTCTGACCTCACACAGAACATCACGTGTTCCTGGTTTGCAAAGTCGCTGGAGAACAAGCCTGTGTGTGTCCCTCAGACAAGTGTTTCCCAACCCAGTCCTTGGGGAACCCCGGACAGTCCATGTTTTTGCTTCCTCTCAGCTCCCAGCACGCCTGTGCCAGGTATTCGGTGTTCCCGATTGGCTGGGAGCTGGGAGGAAGCAAAAATGTGGACTGTCCGGGGTTCCCCAAGGACTGGGTTGGGAAACACTGCCCCAGAGCACTGGGTGCTTTGGGGTGAATAAACCCCAGAGCACAGGCTACTTAAAGAATGTTTTACAGACAGTTACTAATCCATTCCATAGATGAAGTTCATAAAAGATCCTAAACAAAGGTTTTCATTAAAAATATCTTGCATCACACCTGATAGCACTACTGACAGTTCATGCCCCAGGCTGTCTAATTAACCTAAACGGCTTCAGCTGAAACAACACCAGCAAAGGGTTAGCGTACGGTAATCGTAGGGTTAGTGTAGCGTGAGGTTGCTGTTAGAGCCAGTTAGGACCCTCTGAAGTTTTCTGCAATAAAGTACAGAGGGCTTGTCTCTAGTAGGAATTCTTTGCAGAAATCCTGTAGGAAATATTTGAATTATTGGCCTGAAACTGCATCACATGACACTACAAGTCAGTCTGTCTGCCTCGGATGCGCAGAGCAGCTCCAATGCTGTTACAGCATCTGCTGGGGGAGAACAAGGCTTCTAAAATCTAAGCGCGAGTGTGGTGATAAAAGACAGTCACCTCCACCAATACCAGCTACGGCCTTCGGGAATCCTGGCTCCTATGGCAAGACAACACTGCGTGGCACTGCGGAGCACTGCGTGGCACTGCGGAGCACTGCGGGTTACGGTGGAAATGCTGCACTTTGAATGCTTTGAAATTTAGACGTTGTTTTCTCTGACGGTTACAGAAGCACCACGGTGGCTCAGTGGGCAGAGCCGCGGCCTCACATCCCGGTTTGAGGGCACGGCTGGTGGACGCCCACGTGGTGACGTCGGCGAGCTCCACCACAGTCCCGCTGGCCGCTGCAGCCAGTGCCAGGATGAGTTATACAGATGAAGATTGCATAAGGCTTAATATTATATTATAATGCAATAAATAATATAGTAAGTAAAATTATGACATAAGGAAAACTTAAGTACTTACAAATAACAGTGATATGTCTTAAATAACAGGCACTTAGAAGTCATAATGCATTATTATTTCTGTGACTTTCTTTAATTAACCTTGAATCTCCACTGGGATCAGTGAAAAGTATCAGTGAAAACTTCACAGAATTTAATCTATGCTCAATATGCAGACTATAAAATATTTTTTATGGCATTGCAACAGGATTGTATATGCAATTAATCGCAATTAAAAAATTGTTTGCCTGGCCTGTAAACAATATTGTTTTTGGTCACCCTTTGCTAACCTAACAGCATCTTTGACACCTTTCCATATCACCCACATCGCGTAGCTGTTCTATGCCGATACTGCAGAGGGCGCTAGTATTTCTAGAGGAGCCTTACATCACGCAGCTGTTCTGTGCCGGTACTGCAGAGGGCGCTAATACTTCCAGGGGCGCCCCCTACATCAGTCGGCACCCCTCAGAAGCTGCCACCCTGGGTGGCCGCCTATGTCGCCTAGTGGATGGGCTGGTCCTGGTTGAGGGTTCCAGTCACACCTAAGGGGAACTGACATCTGAAAAGCTGCACATGCATGTGCCGTGTGATAAACTGGCACGCTGTCCTGGATGCCCCCTGCTGGCGGGGACGGGAGCTGGATGAAGAGTGGGAACACCGATGTATGCAGAGGATACAGGGATTTAAAGGCTTCCATTAAAATTCAATAGATTACAGATCTACAAATGCCATTGTTTGCCCCTGGCATTAGGCACACTGAAGGGGGCAGATGGCAGGGCGGACGGCAGGGGAAGGTGTGATTCCCAGGGGGAGAGGGATCACCCACCGATGGGGGCGTCATTAAAGCGGAGCACATGATGGGCTCACCCTTGGGCTCGGCCGCTGCCGTCACCCCCAACACGAAGGGACCCGGCGCTGGCCTAGGGGACACATTAGCTAATACCAAGCACACAGCTGCCATTGTTGGAACAGTGACATGGCCTCATTCACTCACGACACACCCTGGCACACATCGTGCAAACACAACGTGCATTGTGTCCCTCACTCCCCCGTCAGTTAAAAAAAAATTAACGAAAAGGGCGTTGATGCGCCTCGGGCGGATGGGCGGAGGGGCGGAGGGGCGGAGGACAAAGCGGGATGCCATCTTCCCACCTCCCGCACGGCGAACGAGACGGGACCTGGGGAGACGGAAATAGAATGCATTCTCCATCTAAATCGGGACATCTGAGACAAGCTGGTTTGGCTGTCGGGCAGCCCTGGGTGGGAAGGTCAACGCGGGGACGAAGACTTCCTCTCAGTCAGCTAAGGCCAGGTAATGCAAAGAGCGCCGCTCTACTGGCAAGGATGGAGTCCTGCAAGGACCCCGGGAATGACACGAGCGCAGAACATGCATGCTGCAGTGGTGCCAGTGCCCTGGTGTGTCTGCACAGCCACAACTAGGAGAGCAGGGAGCAGGGAGGCGCGAGGAGGCATGAGGAGGCGCGAGGAGGCATGAGGAGGCGCGAGGAGGCATGAGGAGGCCCTGGGGGTCTATCGCATGGACGGACCTTGCCCCTCTGCTTCAGTGGGTCGATGGTTAAGCTATCACTGCCGATGTCCACGATGACTCCCAGCTGAAATCCTTCCGTTGGGTGGGGCGCCCACACCGGCTTGCCGTCCTCCATGGCTGAGCGCGGCTCTGCGGCAGGCCCTGAGGGAGACAGCAGCGAGGCAGCGTTAGCGAGCCGGCCGTTACACACGCCCAAACTGCAAAGCGACAGGGTGCATGAAGGCGGCTCGGCGCGGAAGCTCCCTTTGTCTAAGAATGAAGACAGAAATTGCACATGCTGACATATGATCATCCCTAAAGTCTTAGATGACACCAAACAATAATGATTTTGCAGGACTGCGGAGGTAGTAGGTTTATTGACGAGAGTATTGTCAGTTAGTACTGTGCTATAAAGGGCCTGCTTCCTAGGCATCTGCTTTCATGTGCATTTGGTTCAAGACACAGGAACTGAAACCTCCTCATATGTGGGCTTGTGCCCCAGGTCAGGTCGGTCAGTTCTCCTCCTGCTCCTCTCTGCATAAGGCTCCACCTGCTGGCACTGCGCTCTACACACAACTGTGGCTAGACCAGGGAAAGCGAGGACACAGTGTTTATATTAGTAGGCGGATGCCAAAGTGGTCTCAGGTTGCAGATGGGGCCTTTTCCTCCATGTATAAATTCCTTGATCATGCTTGTTAGCAGTTACGATATGCACACCTCAGATAACTAGTTGTTGTGGTTTGGGCAGTACACCAAGCTCCTTCACTGCTGCATCTCTCTCTCTCCGTGCACTGCATTTTCCCTAGCTTCCGATTATCCTGCTATGGAGCAAATGGCTCTGTGCAGCTACAGCACACAGGCAAATTGTGGGCAACTGGATAAAGAGAGATTTACAGGCCACTGACCCTGGCAGGCGAATGGCGGCAGGGAAACAGCCAGAGGCACCAAAATGTCACTTGCAGTCAGGAAGCCTAGCTACTCTGGGGTGGGGGAGCAGGACTAACCGAAATAAAATTATAATAATAAAAAACGACAAAACAAAACAGAGGACCATACTGGACATCACTGTGTGCCAGTTGCTTGGCCATTCACTGTGATGTTTGATGTTAAAATACAGAGAACCAACCAGAAACACACAAGCAGACTCCAAGTGGTACTGTAACCAGGAAACGATGGCTACGATCTGGCTGCTTACGCAACACAGCACCCAGAATCCCCAGTGAAGTTTCTCATGCTCAGACGCAGCCGGGCTGGGCTCCACTGCCCTGGACAAAGGCCCCCTCGTCTGGCCGGGCCCCAGGTCACAGTCCGAGCCCAAAATGCCCAATTATTAATCATTCCAGTCATGTTTTGTGAATCACAGAGCCTAACAATCACCCTTTTAGCACCAGTGGCAAATAATTCAAATATTGTTGGTCAATTCCATGTAAAATGTAACCAAAAAGTACAAGAGGAAATAAAAATTGTCAAAGGCCAGAGAAAACATGAATGGCAATGATCACAGGACGACCCTCTTAGACAAAACCCCCAGGAAACGTGCATCATGTAAATGACATACAAAAATCGTCTCTCACAGACTAGCTTATACCTCAGTCATGAAACTACAAAGCAGATGGCATGTTCAGTTCCACAGGCCGTGTCAGCCGTGCGTGTGGAATTTGCGTGTTCTCTGTGTTCTCTGTGGCTTTCCTCCAGGTGCTCCGGGTTGCTGAATCGCTGGCTGATTATGTGCATGAGCGTCTGAGCAGCCAAGGACTGCCTTCACCTTTAGGGTGTGTGCTGCCTCATTCCGGGCACATGGGAGAAATGCTGCAGGAGCACAGTGGTTCTTTCCGGATGTGAGGTCATGGAAAAAGGATGGATGGGTGGGTGGGTGGATGGGTGGACATTCAGTACAACCAAATGGTATCATTGTACTTAACAGCCTGTTGTAATAGAACCATAGAGATGAGCTGCAGAGTAAACGGCTTGCATCTAAAATCCAGTATGATGATTGGGTCAGAACAGCGAAGGAGTTTGACAGTTTGATCTGCGATTCAAAATATCTTTTACAATTAAGCACCATATGAACTCCTCCTGTCTGCTTCTCATGCTAAACTAAAATTAGAGAAGGAACTAACCAGTAAAGCAGGATAAGCAGTACATGAAACCCTCGAATGGATTACCAGCAAACCCATAATGGGTCCTGGTGGCAGGATGTGTCTGAAATTGGCTGCTCTCCTTAGCTACTGGCTCAAAAAACATATAAAACTCCACAGACATTACAAAGTCCAACAGACTGAACACCAGGAAATAGTTACACTCCATCTCTGTTGTACTAATTACATTCAAACTCTGTTCATTCATAAGGAACTTAAAAAAAGAAAACCATCAAATCTGTCATTCTCCACAATGGCCGTGAATACATGCAGATAGTTGGCATAACCCCAAGCTAAGTGATGAAGAAAAACCTTGTTCTTCACTTCTATTTAAATGCTGTGAGACTAAATTTAATCCTGAGGAAGAGACAGGAAGCTTTTTACACTTAATCGTCAGAGATAGCCTACCCTGCAATAAACTGGTGAAATAACGACGTCCAAAGGTTTGGCTTAGTGGTGACTAATGTGACAGATTAGGCCAGGAGGCTCACCTGACCTATTTCACTCTCTAAAACAAAGTTCACTTCCTTATGTTTCTGAGCACTGCTATGTGATGACCTTGGATGGGGTGGCCTGGATTCTAAGACTGCTACAACCTACTGGACCAGAAGTGGAGCAGCAGGAAGAACAAGCTGCATCATCGAGTGATTAACTGGCTAATGACATTGCTGTAAGGCTTTCACCCCAAGAAAATGTGCCGCAGTCAGTCTGCAGTAAGGTGACTTGTCGAGAATTCAGCGCCAGAATTACGGTGCAAAATGAAGTTTTAATCCTAAATGAAGTAATGAAGTTTTAATCCTAAATGAAGTAATGAAGTTTTAATCCCAAATGAAGTAATGAAGTTTTAATCCTAAATTTCCTCCTGTTTCTGGACAATTGCTGACTTGTTCTGGGGTACATGAAATAAATGCTGAGGAAAAAACACCCCCAGACAAATGTACCCCGTTTAACTTACCAACTTCAATCTGTTAACAAATGTAGAATATGCAAACATGCAAATCCAGAATTTTCCCGGTCACATAATCCTAACTGTGCCACACAACAAAATCAGACATAAATTCCCAGAACTCTAAAGATTTCTCTGACATCTGCCCATTTATATCATTTAAAAGCACATACAATCAAATCAATTTTGAGAGGCATACTTTACCTGCAATGGATACATTTAGCACAATGGAGACATTGGTAGTTCAGTGGTGGCATTTCTCACCTGCCAGACAGGAGCCTGGGTTCAATCCCCAGGCAATGCGCACGTTCTCTCTGGGATTAATAAATCTCCCACAATTACAAAACTACTGGACTGTCTGGGAAACAGGGTGAAGCCATTGGCACAAACCTGGTGGGATGAGAACTGACCCGTGTGTGAATGTCCCAACAGACTGTTACAGTGTGTCCCCTGCATCTCCGAAAACACACACAGGTTTCCAAAAATAAAAAAATGCACAGGATTTGCTTTGTTCTGTATAAACACCCATAAGGCCTAATTAGCAGTCAGATTTTTGATTGAGAGTGACATTTGCATTTGTGTTTACAGTGAAAATCATAGGTATCACACAATTGTGATACACACAAACATTAAACTTACTAATACCACAACAAGAATTTCATTAGTTTCACTTAGCAAAAACCCCATATTCAGGTTTGAACAGTGACAAAGATCAAGATTCAACAGTCCACCAATGGACAGGTGTAACATCTTGAGAGTAATTAATCATTTTGAGTGTCTAAACCACAGGCTCACAGGTCCAGACTCAAACATCGTAGCCACTATGCAGCAGAAAATATGCATTTAAAAACAGAATTAAAAGTTACTCCAAGTGCTCTAACTATAGATGGTGTTATTTCGTCACAGTGAAACATGGTGGAAATATCTACTTCACTTGGTTACAGCGGCATGTTTGTGAATAAAAGAGAGAAGCAGGGAAAGAAAAGAACAGCCAAAGTAGACACACGGGTTCCCAGCAAACAGAAGGTGAGGGACAGCCAGGTTTGTGTCTAAATAAAGAAGCAGAAAGGGCGTGGATGTGTGCGTGTGTGTGGGCGCATCTGAATGAGTCACTGTGCAAAATCCACTCTGAAGGCCCTATTTTCCCATTCGAACAGCGCACTCTTCTGCTCCCGTGTCCAGCCGGGACACTCACTCGAGCTGGAGAGCCACGGAGGGGTGATTTTTAACATCACCTATGGCTGGAAGGCACTGCCAGCTTCATGAGCTGCGGCGGAATCTTCCAAAGGCCGCGCACCGAGTTCTCCACTTCCGTTTGTTTGTTTTGTCTCTCCACGAGTCGCATTGTTTTGTGTAGCGTATAAAAAAAGGCCAAGGCAGGGCAATTCATAAAGGACCGGAGCCATTCTGAGAAAACAAGGGCCATCGCCCTTTCAAAAGGCAACGATCACCAGCCTGCCAAACTGGAATCGCGTGTAACCCGAGACTGGCGGCGGGTGGGGGGGCATGTCAGCCAGTCAGGATGCAAAAGAAGAGCCTTCAGGTGCCAAGCTCCACACAGGCAGCACAGCGGGCAGACCCAGCTGGCTGCAGTCTGAGGCTCAGTGCGAGGCTCCGCCCTCACATGGTTAGGGTGCATGGCACTTCAGCTCGTGTCTACAGGCCAGGAAGCACGGCTGTCTGGCTCACACAACACCGACTGCTTGCCACGATACAAGTCATACATTAGCACTTCTCACACATTGCGCTATTTAGACAAATGATCTTTTATAAAGCGTCGCACACAGTTACGGGTACACGCCCATTTGTGCAGAGGTGGCTGAAGTTAAGTATCGTGTTAAAGGTATAATGACACCTTTTCCCTCAGGTCTAGTCCTTTGGCCACTATTCAAGGGGGAGTCCCTCCTCCTCCCCCTAACAAAGAGGTTCCCCACAGGCCATTCCGCTATTTTTTCTTATAAGCACCCCCTGAAACGGCCAGAGCACAGCAGAGCATGGAGGGGGAAGAAGAGGAAGCTCACGCAGCAATGAGACGGGCTCCCTGCTCGCTCCCTCACCCCCCAACACACACACACCAA